TCCTTCCTTCCTCCCTTCCTCCCGCCCTCCCCCCCTCCCTCCCTCCCTCCCTCCCCTTTTTTAATGTAGTACTGACTGTTCTGGAACTCACTGTGTAGACCAAGCTGGCCGGTCTGGAACTCACAGAGATCTACCTGCCTCTGCCTCCCTAGTGCCGAGACTGAAAGGTGTGTACCACCATGCCCAGCAGAGGATTAATTTTGGCCACAAAATTGGACACTTGTATCTTTGAGGTTGCTGAGAGGAGTGAAGAGAGACATGAAAACAAAAGGGTCCTTAGAAATTACATTGTCTGGGAATATATGTCTCCTCATGCTTTGCTTGGGAGCAAGGAATAGTCCTATGCCATAGGAGTAATAGCTCAGTGGAACTCAGTCAAGGATGTACATACTCTCTATGGGGGTAGTCATGGAGATGAATTAGAACTTTGCTTATTTAAGCTCTTAAACCAATTTTTGGTTTTTGTCTGTTTTTAGTTTGTTGTTGTTTGAGACTGGGTCTCCCTGTGGCCTGGAAGTCACTATGTAGAGCAGGCCGACCTCAATTTCATAGAGATCTGCCTGCCTCTGCCTGTGCCTCTGCCTCGTAAACGCTGGGATTAAAGATGTGCACCACTTCACCTGACCTTGTCTGTTGTTTTTGAGACAGACCAAAAATTACTAAAATTAAGGCAAATCAGTATGGACACTTTTCTTTGCGCATCAGCAAAAATGAGTTGACATAGCAAAAATTCCTTTTCCTAACGCCTTTTGGGCTCTCGAATAGTGTGTTGCTCTTCTTATGGGGCTGCACTGGCACTCAGGAAACTTTTTTCTGTTCTTGTTGCAGCTGTAGCCGACTCCGCCAGGTTCAGAGCATCCTAACCCAGGGCAGCAAGTCTCGACCTGATGGAATTCTCTGCATCCTAGGTTAGTGCTTTTAACAAGATGGGACTCAGAGCTACAGCAGCTTTGATTCATACCACCATTGTGTAAGATACACTATGTTAATGTCCTAGTTTTCATTCCACTGGAATCTGTTGCTGGTTTAGTGAGGTTGAATATTAAGGGGGCTATCAGTGAGATAGGGCACTCAACATTCTTGGAGCTCCTGCCCCACCCCTTTGTTCTTTTGGCGGAGGGACAGTGAGGCAGTGTCCCTGTAGCCCCAACTGGCCTACAAATCGCTATGCAGTCCAGACTGGCTTTGACCTTATTGAGATCTGCCTCTACCTCCTAAGAGCTGGACCTAAAGGTATGTGCCACTATGCCCAGCAACCCTTCCATTTTAATATCACATAGACACTGCTTTACCATGACCCTTCCGTTCTACCTAGAGCCATAGTTCTGAGACTTCTTAGATACCCAAAACCAGGTAGTATATATACCTGAGGCATTGAGAGGTAGTAGCAAAGACAGTGTAATTTACTTTCCTTTTTGTCTCTGACCAGACCTTACGAGGCTTACCTTAGTGAGGGTCATTTGCAGGCACATATATCACTACACCCCACTCTACAGTGCAGTGCTAGGCATTGTTTCTGACATTTGTCAAGGGTTAGTGTTTATTATTCTATTCCCTTATCCTCTTTTTTGTCTTGGTTCTTTTTTTTAATATTTTATTATTTTTATTTTATGTGTATGAGTGTATTGCCTGCATGTATGTGAGTGCACCTATGTCATACAATGCCGCAGAGATCAGAAGAGGGCGTCGGATTCCCTTGGAACTGGAGTTAAGGACGGTTTGTAGCCGCCATGTGGGTTCTGGGAATCGATCCCGGGTCCTCTGCAAGAGCAGTCAGTGCTCTTAACCACTGAGCCCCCTCTCCAGCCCATATATATATATTTCTTTTTTTTTTTTTTTAAATCTTTTGAGACAGGGTTTCTCTGTAGCCCCAGCTGGCCTAGCCTGGAACTCACTAGGTAGAACAGACAGAGACATCTGTTCGCCTCTGCCTGGGTAGTTGTTGGGGTGCTGGGACTAAAAGCATGTGCCACCACACCCAGCTGTCTTGGTTCTTTTTGAAACTCCTTAACTTGCCTTTATTTGATCATATGTGTTTTGGTAAAGCTGTCTTAAGAAACATTTTTTTAGACCCCTATTCTTTGGCTAACTGAAAGTATTTCAAGGTCTTTAACAAGCCAATAGAAGACCATATTTTCTGGTTCTTTTTGCCCTTGAGAATTGTTTTTTGGAACCAGGGGTGGTGGTGCACACCTTTAATCCCAGCTCTCGAGAGGCAGAGGTAAGTGGATCTCTGTGAGTTCAAGGCCTGCCTGGTCTACACAGTGAGTTCCAGGCCAGCCTCCACTACAGGGAGACCCTATCTCAAAAAGAATCCCTCCCCCAAAAAAATATTTTTTGGTTTTGGAAATTAACAGCCTCAATAATCTTTTCTGCTTAATTCTCTCAACTATATAGATCTTGAGATTCATTTAAAGTTCCTAACATACAGACCTTTTTTAGTTTCTAGCACAAAACTAGCCCAAGGTGCTGCCTTTGATAACAGGGTTTTATTAAGATGGGGCAAATCATTGGAGCTCGTTACACACCATAGTACAGGACAGCTGTCATAGTCTTCTTTGCCTTGCAGGAATAGATAGCAGGTACAACGAGGGCTGCAGAGAGCTGGCAAATTACCTTCTGTTTGGTTTATACAGCCAGAATACCAATGATTTTGAGAAAACGGGATTTTCTGAAGAAGTTCTAGATGGTAAGTCTCTATTGACAATTGGAGAATATGTGGCTTACTTCTTTGCATCCTTAATTCATGATTTAAAAAATTCTTAGATTTGTGTGGGAGCGCACACATGTGCCAGGACACACATATCAAGATCAGAGAACAACGTTGTGAAGTCAGTTCTTCCCTTGTACCTTTATGTGGGTACCATGCATCGAACTCTGGTCATTAGGCTTTTGTGGAAAGCACCTTCATCCACTGAACTATCTCACTGGCCCAATTCATTTTTTTTAAAAAGAAACATCTTTTTAAACATTTTATTTTATGTATATGAATATTTTCCAGCATGTATGTATGTGCACCACATGGGTGCTAGGAACCAAACTCAGGTCCTCTGCAAGAGCAGCAAGTCTCTTAACTGTTGAGCCATCTATCCAGCCTGATGATCTTTCTTAGAAATTCATGGTCTCTTTTTTTTTTTCTTTAAATTTTTAAATGGCAAATAATAATTAGACATGTATTTATGGAGGACAGTGTTTAATATATACATATATTACACACATAGGATTATTAAATTAAACTCATTAACATTTATAGTTCATGATTTTAAAAAATAATTTTATTTATTTGCTAACATGTATGTAAATGTGCATGCAATGCCTGTGGAGGCCAGAAGAGGATGTCGAATCCCCTGGAACTGGAGTTAAAGATGGTTGCTAGCCACTATGTGGGTGTGGGAACCAAACCCTCGTCTTCTGCAAGAGCAACCAGTACTCTTAACCACTGAGTCTTCTCTCTAGCCACCCCCCCATTTTTAAATAATTAAAAATATTTTATTTATTTTATTTTATGTGTATGAATATAAGTGTATTTTGCCTGCATGTATATAAGTGTACCATGGGCGTGCATTGCCCTACAGAGGCCAGCAAAGGGTGTCAGATTCCCTAGAACTGTAGTTGTGTAGCTACTATGTGGGTGCTAGGATTAGAACCTGGGTCCTCTGGAAAATAGCAAGTGTTCTTAAGCATTGAGCCATCTCTACATCCCCTAATTCATGATCTTTTAATAGAAAGGTGTAATAATTTTTTTTCAGTCTTTTTGAGACAGCGTCTCCCTGTAGCCCCAGCTGGCCTGGAACTTACTATGTAGACCAGACTGGCCTTGAACTCACAGAGGTCTGCCTGCCTCTGCCTGGGGAGTGCTGGGACTAAAAGTGTGTGCCACCACACCCGGCAATATAATAAAATTTTAAATAATTCAAAGCCCCAGTAAAATTGTTGCCTTATTTTGTTTCATTGTTTGAATTGTCTGTGGTACTCTAGTTGACCTTGTGCTTGGCAACCCTCTGACCTCAGCCTCCCAAGTATCTGGGACTATACCAGATAAATTTTTGCGCATTTTAAAGACAAGGTCTCCTTTATCCCCATCCGGCCTGGAACTCACTGTGTAGACCAGGCTGGCCTTGATTTCACAGTGATCTGCCTGCCTCCTCCCAAGTACCACCATGCCTGGAATAATTTCTGCTTTTTTATAGTGAAAAATACCATTTTCTTTTAACCTATCAAGTAATATATGCCTGTTGGTCATGTACTGGATAAAAGATTACCAACAAACAGTTCCAGAATATATTTACTGGGTAAATCAGCTTTGGGGCAGAAAGCAAACATCAGTATTTGGCTTTATCTCTTGGCAAGAAACTAGTTTTTCTTAGAATTTCCCGCTGCTTCTTTTCACTGATGGCTCAGATTATGTGCTGCTGCCCAGTGAAAGCCCTTTTAACTGTGAGCCAAGGATGAGCCTATAAACTGTTCTTTCAAGGAAGACTTTATGTGGCTCTTTAGCTGAGAAACAAAGGCTCTTTATCCTGCTGTCTTTGGGAATTACTTTCTGTGGAACTTGAATTCATGATGTTGCCTATGATTACAATGCAGACTTTCTGCTTAAATTCTCCTTTCTCTGGCTTGGAGATACTGCATGTGTTGATGCTGCTGTGGGTTGTTGCCCAGGAGCTCTCTCTGATACCATATACCTAGCATTATGACTTGTCTGCCAGATGAGTCAGGAGAGACACATCAAACAAAACTGTACAAGAGGCAGCTTTTGCTAGGCAGCTGGGGAAGGTATAAAAGCAAACATCTAATGTGAGATGATCTTTCTTGAGTATAGTCATTCCCAGCTGGGGGTCAGTTTTGTCCCTTGGAGGGCATTTAGCAATGTCTGAAGACATTTTTGATGGTTACTGCTAGACCTGTGGTATTACTGACATATAGTGGGTACAGGCCAGAGATGCTGTTAAATGTCCCACATTGTGAAGGACAGCAAAGAATTATTGGGTGTGTTTGTTTTAGTGACTGTTTTCACTTTGTAACCCAAGCTGGCCTAGACTTCAGATCTTTTTGTCTCAGGCTCCTGAATGATATGATTACAGGACTGCTAACAAAGAATTATATGATTTAAATGTCATAGTTGAGATCTAAATAAGAAACTTCTCCAGTGGTAAAGTCCCTAATACTGTCTATAATATAGTTCAGTTAAAGCTATCCTTTTTATTAGGAAATACAGAAAAAGGAGACTGAATTACCCTTTTCATTACTATTCTTCCTTTCATCTTTCCATTCCTTCTTCCTTTCTTCATATTTTTTTTTTCATCTTTTAGGGTCTTACTCTATGATCCAGGCTGGCTTCAAATTCACAGCATCCTTCTGCCTCAGCCTGTTGGGTGCTGTGATTATAGACAGGAACCCCACTCCTAACTTCATTCTTCTTTTTTTTTAAGTCTTTTTGAGACAGGGTCTCCCTGTAGCCCCAGCTGACCTGGAACTCACTATGTAGACCAGGCTGGCCTTGAAGTCACAGAGATCCGCCTGCCTCTGTGCCACCACACCCAGCTTTTATTAATTACCTTTAGTCAATTTTTATTTCAGATTTTAATTTAAAATTCCTTCCCTTACATTGTATAGTACCCAGTGGTTTGGAAAGAATCTTGGAAGCTTGTACCTGTTACCCATCTCACTACAGCCAAGGTTGCAAAAGACATTTCAATATTGAAATTAAGGAAATAGTTTGAATTCCCAAAGATAGGCCTTTTTTACCTTATTTTTGTTTATCCTGTCATCCAGCAAAACGGGCACATTTTCCTCCAAATTAATAATGTCATTTTTAAATCCATATAATTAGAAAGCTAAGATTACCAGATTTATATATGTGCTTTTTAAAAAAGATTTATTTTATTATTCTTTTTTTTTGGTCTTTTTGAGACAGGGTCTCCCTGTAGCCCCAGCTGACTTGGAACTCACTAAGTAGACCAGACTGGCCTTGAACTCACAGAGATCCGCCTGCCTCTGCCTCCCAAGTGCTGGGACTACAGGCATGCACCACCACGCCCGGCTATTTTATTATTCTTTTTAAAATTATGTGTATATATGTGGGGTGGGAATGTGCAGGTTCCTGTGGGTTCCCTGAGATGGAGTTATAAGCAGCTGTGAGTTGCCTAACACGAGTGCCGGGAATCGAACTCAGGTCCTCTGCAAGAGCAGTATGTGATCTTAACCACTGACCCATCTCTTCATCCCTCTTATGTATTAATCTCTAATTATGAGTAGAACCAGCTAAGATGGGATATTTTATTATTTTTTTATTTTATTTTTTTGGTCTTTTTGAGATAGGGTCTCCTTGTAGCCCCAGCTGTCCTGGAACTCGCTATCTAGACCAGGCTAGCCTCAAACTCACAAAGGTCTGCCTGCCTTTGCCTCCCAAGTGCTGGGATTAAAGGCCTGCATCACCATGCCTGGAGGGATATTTATTTTTAAAAAACTTTAAAAAATATTTTACAGTCATATATCTTGTATACTTTCTTTCTCTTCCCTTTATATAAAGCAAGTTGACCTTAAACTTGTGGTGATCCTCTGCCTCCTGAGTACTGAGCTCATGCGCATGGGCCATTATGCCTAATTTCATATTTTCTTCCTTTATCTGATTCTCTTTTGAGAAGTTACTTAATAAGATTTAGGTGTCATTATCATATATTTCTTATTGGATTCTGTCTTTGAGGTTATACTTTTTATTAAAAATTTTATTTCCTTTTATTTTTTGTGTATGAGTGTTTTGCCTGTATGTATGTAAGTATACCATGTGCATGCCCACAGAAGCCGGAAGAGGGCATAGGATCCCCTGGAACTGGAGTTGTAAATGGTTGTTAGCTCTATGTGGGTGTTGGGGAACTGAACCTGGGTTCTCTGTAAGAGCATCCAGTGCTCTTAACCACTGAGCCATTTCTCCAGCCCCCTGTTATACTTTACTGTACGCTATGTATAATGTGTACAGCATGCCCTTGGTCTTTTCAAGTGACATCAGATTCACTCCGTAGCAGATAGTCTACAATTGATGTAGGACAGGGCTCTTGGGAGATGTGAGGTGTGAGGAAGCCCAGTAACTGAGAGATGAAGGATTGGGGGGTCCTTTTTTGCTCTTTGCTACTTGCACTTACCCGAGAGTCTGCAGTGAAGAGCAGCTCCTACTGTATTCCTGTATTCTCTGGAATGCTCTGGATTGGCCAGGCATGGAACTCAGAGTGGCTTGAAAGGCCACCTTTGTTTCAAAAGGCCACCCAACCGGTCAGCTATGGTTAGTGCTCAACTTCAGTATATTTTTATAATGAATGATCTGTCACACTGTACTGTTTGTTGGCATTGCCATATTAGATGCTCCACTATCTAATGCACCTTTCTCACCTCCAGCAATTTCTAGCTTCTTTCTTTCTTTCTTTCTTTCTTTCTTTCTTTCTTTCTTTCTTTCTCTTTCTTTCTTTCTTTCTTTCTTTTTTTTTTTGTCTTTTGTAGCCCTGCTGTTTGGAATTCCCTATGCAGACCAGGCTGGCCTCCAGCTCACAGAGATCCACCTACCTGTGCCTCCCCTACTGCTGGGATTAAAGGCGTGTGCTGCCACACCTGGCTCCAGCCACTTTTGCTTTTCTTTTGGAATTATGACTTCTTCCGGTTTCTACTCTCAGGCTACTTTAATATTTCTTCTCTATTCCATTGCCCCATCCCACAGCTCTTTTATTTGCCTGGGTTTATTTGGACCCCTTGGACTGCTTTTTTTACTTAACCCACCAGTGTTAGTAGCTATTCTAAATCTGTGAGCTATTGGTTTGTTTACAGAAGCTCTTTTCACTTGGCTGAGCTTCCTTCCTCTCAGCCTTTCCTGTGTATAGAGTTCACTGTCATACACAATAATCCTTCCTAAGCAATGTCCAGGCCTAGAGCTAAATGAGCCTCTGGCCAAGAACTTCAGACATGGATTTTAGTGTGAAGTCCCTGCCATAATTGGTGCTGTTTTCTAACTCAGTGGTATTTCCATTTGATACTATCTCTTTATTGAAATAAACTGCAGAGCCAGATGTGAAGCATGTCTGTAATCCTAGTACTCAGGAGGGGGGGGAGGGGGAGGGGGAGGATTGCTGTAGATTAAAGCCCAGCCTGGTCTGCATAGGGAATTCCAAACAGTCAGGGCTACATAATGATACACTGTCTCAGAAAAACAAAATATCTCGGCCTGGTGATACAGGTCTGTAATCCTAGTTGCTTGGGAGCATGAGACAGGAGGATTGCAAGTTCAAGAACTATCTAGGCTACACAGTGAGTTCAAAGCCAACTGAGGCAACTTGGTGAAACCATGTCTCAAAATGGGGTTGTAGCCAAGTGATATCTAGCATGTCCACAGCCCTAGGTTCAATTTCTAGTACTACAATCAATCAGTCACCAATTAGTCAATAAATAAATAATATAGCTGAGTTTGGTACCATGATCAATTGTGTTGATTTTGGTAAAATGATGTTATAGGAGATGAAACCAGTTCTTTTTACTTACTTTGTGCCTGCCTTGCCACATCCAAAAGCCACCATAGGGAGGAACATTGCTGAGGCACTAGGACCCTCACTGCCAACAGTAACTTTTAAACACATTGCCTGAAAAAATGATTTTTGTTTAGACTTTTGTTATGTTGATTCTGATGTACCTTTATGTTTTGTTTTGGGTTTTTTGGGGGGGAAGGGTGCTAGGGGTAAACCCAGGGCCCATGTGTACAACTGGCTGTATTGCTGAGCTAGCCTCATGCTTTAGTGGAGTTACTAATTTTCTGGGCAGGAAATACCTAAAGGAAAAACCTTTGACAATTTTGTGTTTTGATTTTTTTTCTTACAGATGTGATTATATTGATTAAATCAGATAGTGTCCATCTGTACTGTAATCCTGTCAACTATCGCTATCTTTTGCCCTATGTGGCACATTGGAGAAATCTGCATTTCCACTGCATGACCGAAAACGAGGTGAGGAAACAAGATAGAATAAGCATTTCATTCACGAAGAGTGTTGGTTTGGAACAGAAGTGCTCCCCCCACCGCCCCCACCCTCACCCCGCCTCAAAAAAATAGCTGCTTTCAGTGGTAGAAGCTTTTAATCCCAGCACTCAGGAGACAGAGGCAGGTGAATCTCTATGAGATTGCAACCAGCCTTGCCTACATAGTGAGTTCCAGGCAAGCTGGGACTACAGAGAGACCCTGTCTCAAAAAGACCAAAACAAAGAAATTTAATAATTAATAATAATAATAATAATATTGCAGTGTGTTTACATAGAAATGAATCTTTAAGTTTTACATTTTGAGGCTACCTTTTAGTTGTTTGCTTGAAGGAGACAAAAGGCTGTTCACATTGGGGTTTCTGAACCCATCTTACTGTCCTGCTTTTCCTTCACCAGCCTGAATCCTGTCTCTCCCAGGATTAGTACTTAGGGGCTGCCATCGCAGGCTTGTCTAGCCTGCCTGAGAGCTACAGCAGGCAAGAATAGCTGTGAATGCTACCCAGCACAAAATTGTAAACAAAATATGGGATTTTTAAAAATGTAACTTGATTACACAGTTCATGAGTCAGCATGAACTTTATAGATGACAAGGTTGTGTCAAAGGGTTGGGCATGCCTGCAAGACTTAGAACTTTCTTGAACTTAGTGACATTTCTGTCTGGGTTTCTTGTTACCTGTTTCTGTTTCCCTTTGGGCCCTTTTCAACACTTTGGCTAGAAAGCAAATTGGGATTTGAGATTTGCAATTTCATGGAAATTGTGACCCAGTATTAGTTAAGAACCTTTCTTTCTGTGTGACTGTTGGGGATACTTGGAGGAATAGGTTTTTATCTCTTCCATTTAGGTCTCTTGATCCATTTTTATTTGATTTTTTACTATGAATATGAGATGAAGGAATGGGAAATTTTTTTTTCCTTTTTTTATTGAGCTTTTAAAATCTCTTACAATATTGGAATGGGAAATATTTTTGACCAACAAATGGGATAGGTTTCCTTTTAGGGACACTGCTCCCTCATCCCCCAAATTGGGCACACTTTTTTATAAATGTGGTTTAACACAATATCAATAAAATACAGAGATAAGGTGAAACTTTGAGTGATGTGTCTCATCAAAACCTGTCTTCCCTTTACTTTCCTTCGTTAGTATGAAGATGAGGAGGCTGCAGAAGAATTTAAGATTTCCAGCTTTGTGGACATGGTTCGAGACTGTAGTAGAATTGGTATTCCTTATAGCTCCCAAGGTTAGTATTTACAGCAAGCCATTTAAGAATATTGCTTGTATGGTATATGGTTTGAAAAGCCCTCTTTCAAGATATAGGTATTCAACTGGAAAACCCTTTGATCCATTTTTACTAAGGCAAGGATCAAGCAGAATGATCCTTAGGGACTCTCCTATACAAGCTTATATTCATAACTATGAAGTTTCTTCAGCAACACATCAAGTTGCTGAAGAACTCATGAGGGATTTAGCACTATTGATATCTAGTTTGTATCACTTATTACAGAGAATATATAAATATAGCATCACTTGATAATAGGAAATTGTAATGTGGCTAGCCATTTAAAAGCATGCTTTTTAGGCTCAGTGGTGATGAGCACTGACTGCTCTTGCAGAGGGCCTAGGTTCAGTTCCCAGCACCCACAAGGTAGCTAACAACCATCCATAACTCCAGTTCCAGGTGATCTGACATCCTCTTCTGGTCTCTGCAGGCATTGCACACACATAGTCCAGGCAAAACACAAAACATTCAGACACTTTAAATTTAGAAAATATGCTTTCGTGGAGATGAAAAAATAATGCATGGATGCTGGGCATGGTGGCATGTGCCTTTAACCTCAACCCTTGGGAGGCAGAGGCAGGTAGATCTCTGTGAGATTGAGGCCAGCCTGGTCTACACAGTGACTTCTAGGCAGGCTAGACTAGGGAAACCCTGTCGAAAAAACCAGAAAAACAAACAAAAAAAGAAAACCAACCAACCAAAAAATGATGCATGGAATACAGAGGAAAATCAGGTTTAGCAGTACTAATATTGTAGGGAACAAATAACCCTGAATATTAACCTATTGTTACGAAAAAGAAACTTTGATTTGGTAGTTTTTCCCCTGAGGAATTGATTAGCTATGTTTCTTCAGAGAGAAGAGGCAACATTTGGATTATTAATAAACATATCTAGCAAATGGTGCAAGTCAATTGTAATAGAGTAGAATTTACTTTTTTTTTTAACATAGGAAACCAAAATGTCAAAATATGCTGTAGAGAAATCTGAATTTATGTAACTTGTTTATGGTTTGAATTTTTCTTGGATTTCCTGTTGTATATGTAGTAGCTAACCATCTTATCTGTTCAGATTCACTTTGCCAGATGAAGTACTGTTCAATTTGTAAGAAATACCTATCAACAATACTAGTTCAGATTTAAACTGTTATGTCCAGGATGATATTTGATATGTGTTGTTGTATTTGATTCTTCTAGGTCACTTGCAGATATTTGATATGTTTGTGGTGGAGAAATGGCCAATTGTACAGGCCTTTGCACTTGAGGGCATTGGAGGAGATGGATTTTTTACCATGAAATATGAGGTATGTATGGTTTGGTTTTTGTCAAAGCCCACCAAGTGGGGCTGGAGAGATGGCTCAGTGGTTAAAATCGCTGGCTACTCTTGCAGAGGACCCAGGTTAGGTTCCCAGCACCCATGTGGCAACTAACAACCAGTTCCCGGAGATCTGACATCCTGTTTTGACTTCCAAGGGCATTCCATGACATAAGTACACTTACATACATGCAAGCAATATAGTCATACCCACTTTTCAAAAAAGCCCACGGGGGCTGGAGAGAGAGTACAGTGGTTAAGAACACTAACTGTTCTTGCAGAAGACCTGGGTCGAATCCCAGCACCCACATAGCAGCTAACAACTGTCCATAACTCCAGTTCCAGGGGATCCAACAGTCTCTTCTGTCCTCTGTGGGCATTGCACGACACAGGTGCACTTAGCTACATGCAGGCTATACATGCATACACATAAAATAAAAATAATAAAGCTGGGCATGGTGGCACACACCTGTAGTCCCAGTACTTGAGAGGCAGAGGCAGGCAGATCTCTGTGAGTTCAAGG